TCCCTTCATTTGCTTTCATAAGTAGTGCCTGTAAATGAAGTGTTCTGTTCTTGATAGACCCAAACACCTTTCTTTTTTTTTTTTTTTTATTTCTTCAAGAAGAAACAAAACAAAATTTAGTTTAGGCTGAGCCAACTTAAAAAAAAAATAAAATTGCTTTGGTTTGGCAGCTGCTTTGAGTGATTCTCACTGCCCTTAAGAAGGAATAGAAAGTTCAGTGGCTTTCTTCCCAATATATGGGCCAAGACAGTGGCCAGGAAGGATTGTTTTACAGCTTTATACTCTGGCCCAGGGACTGATTTCATTCCAGTTTATCCTCTGCTTCATGCTCACATTACATCCAATCTTTCTATAGAGACAAAAAAAATAAAAAAAGTATTTTAAAAGATTAAAGTACAAATCACCATTGGCAGCCAACTTAGCACTTAAATAGCAATTTTCTTCCTTTGATTGTTTTATGCAATAAAAAATCCCCAACACAGGGTAAATAAGACACAATTTCTAAGTGAATTCCAGATTTCTGGTTGTCATTGTTCATAATTTTTCCAAGAACAGTCTAAAAACCTCTATGTTTTTTTTTTTCTGTGTAAAATTACAGAAATGTCAGTTCCACCATGAATATACACAGCATTCAAAGAGCAACAACTAGCGGTGTTCTTTCCTCCAACTTGCTTCTATACCAACAAATACTTTTATGTTATAGGCAAGCCACTAGAAGGACCCATATCATGGACTATTATTATTATTATTAAATGTTTTAAAAAAGAAGAATTAGAGGCTGAATTAAAACCATTGGAAAAACATTACATGGACATGTGCTTGGATGGGAATTGAAGAGTATCTGTTTCCTGTGGCCTCAACTGCCACAGAAGAAAGCCAAACAACTCTGTACTTCATTTCTGGCAACGCAAGACCATTGATTTTACTTTTAAAAAAGATATAGCGAGGATGCATCGAACAAAACTTTTTGGGGAAGATACCATATAGATGTAAATGAGAGTACTTGGCTTCTCATCCTTCACACAAGTACTGGGTCTTCACTGCTTCTAAAGTGAGCTTTGAAGTTGGTACATTGGCCCCTAAGCTAGTAGTAATGGGGACTGGAAAGGCTGCAAGTCTGGTGCTGCAAGAGTCTGATGTAGCACGAAGTGTGTAACAGCTGAGGAAGGTGCAGGTAGTAGGGGGAGTGGCTGACTTGTGAGGGCACTAGTAGGTCTCAACTCAGCTCTCCATATCAAGACTTCTTGAGGTATCTGCATACAAAACTGCCAAGAGCTTCTTGGCTAGAACTAGGCACAAATGAATCAGAGGGGTCTGGGGCAGGCTTCAGTACTGCAAAATGAAGCAAATCTTCTGATGAAGCTGCTTGCAATAGCAATGGAAATGCACTCCATGTGCTGAAGGAGCACAGTTCTCAAAACGCATTCCTGTGACTGCCAACAGCTCCTCAGACAAGTAAACCACTTCTCATCAGTTTCCACAACTGTAAAAGGCAAATAGGGGAAATTATCTTCCTTGCAGGAGGTTCTGAGGTCTGCACGTGTAAAGAATTTCAGAACTGGGAGTATTTCACTGCACAATACTGTCTTTCATTGCTACAGGACATTTAACTACTCTGGTAGATTTTTATATTATGCATAAGTAAAATACATTCTTGATGAACTACAGATAACTTTGAAAATTGCAAGTAAAAAAAAAAAACCTGAACAAAATAATAATTAAAAAAATCCTTTAATTTATTCAGTCTATGTTAATAGATTATGTTATTATAATTGATTCCCCCCACTTCCTTACAGAAAAAACCACCAGAACCTTCTGACTTCATGGAATGCAAGATCCATTTTGACTGGAATAAATTTTGTAGAAATTTTTCTGGTGATGTCATAAGCTTTATTTTATTTCTGTTTCTTCTAAGGATTCTATAATTCTGTGGACCTTCCATGGGAAACTGCTAGGTACTTTCACATTCCTGCCACATACCAGACTTGGGAATATAAGCGAAGTGTGGTGGTGTCTCTTTGCATCAGTTCACACCACTACAAAGAGGTCATCAGTAATGTGAGACTTCAACTAATATGAAGTATTTCATTTATAATTACCAGTATTAAGCATATTTTTCTAAATTTTGTGTTTATAGTGATTAATTATTTAGCAATTACATGAAGTCTTAATATTTGTGTGAAGTGGGTTTAAGCTTTAAAAGTACTGAATGCTGTGCCAAGAATATAACAACTCTGAAAACTGGGAAGGACCTAGCTGGAGAGCACTTTTGTATATGTCTAACCTTAAGTACCTAAGCCCATACTTCTGTGCTGAACTGGGCTGGGATCCTAGTGCTCAGCTCCTCACTAGATCAAAACTTCAAGGGGCACAGATTACCATTAATCCCTTCCTACTTGAAGACGCTCTGTCCCAGCTGCAGCTGTACAGCAGGCTCTGCCTGGCCAAACCTGTCCTGCTAAACAGCTATAGGCCATAAAGATACTTGGCTGAACAACAGAAAGCTCTCACCTTCTTTTCTTGTCCCCCTTAATGTACTCTTTTTGCTGCCACCCTGGCGCCAGGGCTTCCTGCAACCTCTCTGTCTTTGCATTTTCTCACTGGGGGAAAGGTGAAAAACAGACTGAGCAAGCCCAGTGCAGTCCCGGCTGGGCTAGAGGAGGCTCGACTGCCAATCACCCCTTACGTTAAGCTATGCTACCCTTGTTCAATAGAGGTAATGGGTCCAGTGGGTAAGTAATAGGTCCAGTGGGTCTATTACACATTTTTATTGAAAAGCAAAATAAATAGTCCTGTAAAACTCACACACTGCTCCAGGGCTGCAATAATTTATGCACCTTCTTAGACCTTCTCTCTTCTTTCTCTCTTCGCCTTTTCAGAGTTTCTTGGGTGAACTTTTCCAGCATGGCAGGTAAGAGGTTTTGTAAATTCAACACCATTTGTTTGAATAAAGCAATATTTGAAAATACTGCATGTTGTTATGTGGAGAATTGTGGCAGGCCTTTATTACTTGATTATACACATATGTAGTACCAAAACGGATCACATGTTACTCAGCCAAACTTGTTTAATAGAAAAGGCATAAAAATCAAAGTATGTATAGTATCAGGTTTGCTTTCCAGAGAGAATGTGTTTTTCCACAAAACTAAGGAAAGGGTAATTTACCACTCAAACAAGCTGGGAAAAAATAACATTCTTTCCTAAACAGCAACAATTATGCTTTTGGCAAGCAGTAGTAAAAACAATTGTGCTTCCTTTCTTAGCCTCTTACCTTCCTTTCTTAGGTAAATCTATACCTGGAACTGATTAGAGAACAACAGGAGAGGTGCTGCTTTTGTTTTCAAGGACTACCAATGATTTTTTCTTTAGTTTGGTTCTGAACAGATATTACCAGTAAAGACTGTCTCAGCTTCTTTGTGATTGTCTCCCACGTGTTCTTCATTTGTACAAATACAGATTTCATATGAGTGGGGGAGAGAATAAACCCCAATGCTGTTGGAACATCAGGGTGAGGAATCAAGGACATGATAAATGAAATAATCCTGATGGGAATCCCTTGAGACCTGCAGAAATCCATGCTTTCTTGAGTATCACGAGTGCAATATTCAGAGTTGTGCCTTGTCTGTTCCAAGTCTGATCCAGACGGTGCAGCAGGATATGAAAACACTGCCCCTTTAAGCCCTAAAAACTCTTTTGGACAAAATCTTCATAAGCTAAGTGTAGCTTTGTTGTACCAAGCCAAATAACTCACTACTCTGCTGTTCTGTCTCTGGAACCCTTTTCTTCCCAAGAACATAGCTGCATTAAGCACCTCTGGAATAACCTACTTTTTCAGAAAGGGAAAAAAAATCTTAACCCCATTAGTTAGAGGGTAGCACAGGCCAAAGAGCAAGAGAATGGATATATTTTTGAAAACTCTTTGTTGAATTTTATCCCTACTGTTAACAATTTGGATAGTTTCATTGCCAGGTGTCTGTTGTTGTTGTGCAGGATGATTTTACGTAAAACAAAGCAGCTCTTTGCCTTTACTTTTTTTTTTACTCATGAGAGCAAAACAGGAGGAAAAAAATCAATTTAAAATAAATCAAAAAAAACCCTTTTAAAATTGAATAGAACAATTTAGGCATAGCACTTGAAGCAGATGTTGCAGAAAGAGAAAAATACAACCTCTTTTCACTCCTTCCCCTCCAACAAAATTGTCATTAACACCTAAATATTGTGAGACAATAATATTTATATCAGACTGCACAACAGTGAATAAAACTTTATAGAAAACCTGCTGGCAGGATTACACAGAATCACAGCATCCCAAGGGTTGGAAGGGACCTCAAGAGATCATCTGGTCCAACCCCCCTGCAAGAGCAGGGTAACCTAGAGTACATCACACAGGAACTTGTCCAGGCGGGCCTTGAATATCTCCACTCCCTTAATCATCTTTGTGGATTAGTACTCAGTGGGAAGCTGACTACTTCTCAGTTGCTATGTGGAGAGTGCTATGGCATAATATGGATGCGTGAGGAACCAGTGAGGAAACTAAACACACACCTAGCCCGTGCAAAATAAATGGAGAAGCCTGGAACTGTATGTAGTAGGTTGTCATGTGTGCTGTAGTTGGCTTCTGCTCATGCAAAAATAGTTTAGGAGATGTAGCTAATTGTAGAGGACAGAAGAGTAAGCTATTAAAACAGAGAGTGTTGAAAGACGATTACTTGAGGTTAAACCAGAAGACAAAGATTAATAGAGCACAAGAGGAAAGGTTTCTTTATGGTGGTATTTCTTCATATTTGATGTTTTGCCTGTGAAAGCTACTGAGACAAGAGTCCTGGGAGTTGATGTGTTTCTTGTCTGCAGAGCAGCAAGAAGGTGACTTGTAGTGACCTGGCTTCCCTACCAGGTTCAGTTTGAAAGAAATGCCATGAGATACAAAAGTATACAGGTTATTTTCAGCAGTCCTAAATTCTACTCCAAGTCCCTCTTGCTACTGTTCCCTCTAGCCTTTGTTAGGGCCCTTTTCTGGCTATTTAAATGATCAAGAACCTCAGAGGCACCTTGTTTTCTCTGTTAGCAGCACCCACAGTGGATCTTGGTGGAATTCAGGTGAGAGAAATCCATCCCCGTGTCCCTATGCTCATTCAGCCTAGGGAGCCTCAGTAGAGACAGTGGTGCATTGCGTGCATTTATCTGCTAGGACCTGGATTGGGCTGTCAGTAATGCATGAGCAAGGAATAAGCAATTCGATTACCTGTTGTGATTCTTTACAGGTTCAGATTTCCTTCCATGTGGAATAATGACTGTACCACTATTTGGAAAAAGTAGTGAAGCTTAAGTAATAGCAGTGCTATAGGCAGGAAGGAGGAAGTCCCATAAGAACAGAGGACTTACATAGGGACTCAAAATTTTCAGGTCTAGTATCTGGATTGATTTAATTTTTATGCTCTTGCTAGAGACAGCCTGGAGTTTCTCTAAAGACTAAGCAAAGATACCGTCCTTTTACACTCCCAGGAGCATAATCTTAAAAAATGTTTTCACTGTTATTCCAGTGGCTACAGCCTCCCATCACATTGTGTTACCCTGTATGGTGAGGACATCTGGGGGGATTGAATCCTCTGGCTCCAAGTGAAATTGGTACTACTTGTCTCTCACCTTCCACTCTTAAAAACACTTGACAATTTGACATTCTCACTGCTAAGTGGAACTGACAGAGGCTCATCAACAATAGGACATTGTTATCAGCCCTGGCAGAAATCATACCAACAGCCTTATGCGAAGTGATGACTTGCATTTACTTCCAGCAGGATGAATGCAATTGGGTGTCAAGTGTTCCCAGTGTACAACTAGGGAACAGTGAGGAAGTTACTTAGAGAACTTGTGTTCTTCCTGCTCCCATCTCAGTCATCTTGGAAGTAGATTGCAAATTGTTTAAACTTTAAACTGCTGCAGAATAAATGTCTCATTATTACATTGTAGTTTGATATGGCTTAGGAAAAAAAACCCCTCATATACCTCAGTGATTGTTTTCAGATGTTGGTCTTTATCAGGTCCAAGATGCTGGGCAAAAGATGAAGGCAAATTGTTAGTACCACTCTGCTTGCCAACGATTAATCTTCTTTCTGTTTTTCTTTCTTCCTTTCTTTTTCTCTTCTCTCTCTTTCTCCACTCTTCTTCCTTCCTGGAAGATAAATTCTTCTTGCAGAGAAACAACCATTCCTTTCCCCCTGCTGCCTGGATCTTTTTAAATGGTCCAGATTTGGCTGTTAATATCTGAGAGTTCCAGAGTCTGAGACTGTGGGGAATAAAAAGGTTTTATTGAAGCCAGCTGAAGGTGCTCTCATCAGGTGACTAGAGGTGTGTTGACAGCCCTCAGGTGTGTGAGTGAATGACATTCAAGTCCTGCATCCAACAGTGACCATGGAGAAAAGTGTATGAAGAAATTAACGGAAGAATTTCAAAAGGGTTAGGTTTCCATCCCTGTCATCTTATTTTGTGATACTCAATAAATAAAGAGATAGATTAAATATTTTTTTTCTCACTGCCCTGTCACTTGCAGACCTGTTGACAAAAACGAGTAATGTGACATTTGACTAGCAAATACAGAATGAAAATGGGGCCCACTCTACTTAAAAGGCATCATTATTGCACTGCATAAAATAAAATACTGTAAAAACTTTAACTTAGCTAGGGAAGGATTTACCCTTTCCCCTTTCCTAGCAGGAGGTTTTGTTGTTGCTGCTTTTAACTTCTCATTTCAATGCATTTCTCAAATAAGGAATGTAAGAGCCAGAAAGGCTCTCCTGAGGAAGAAGCCATCCACTGATTTCCTGGTTTGTTTTTTTCTGAATATGGAAACAGCAGCAAAGGCAATGCATAGGAAAGAAGGGGTGAGGCCTCCAGGTTTGTCTTTTGACACGGCTGTAAGTCCCATTGGAGACCACCAGGCTTGGGATCTATGCTGGCCAATGCTAGATCCTGGGAGATTCAGAAGTGCAGAACCAGTAGGTTCTTCCTTATTTCCTTGGCATCCACTGGGAGAAGCTCGAGCTACACAAACCCAAATAAACAGCTGAGGGAACTCCTAACTGTTACCCACATTATCCTTTATTTTCCCTTGTTTCTTAGACATGTGGTGCTGTAGGAAACACCTGCATGGGGCTCTGGTCTTTTTCTACCCAGCTGACTTTTTTCAACCGTGCACTGGCTTGGGGTCAGCCCTCATGAGCAGGTGTTTTCCCTCAGAATAGCTTTCTTGTCTGAATCCTAGTGGATCACACGGGCCGAACTTCACTGCCGGAGGTCATGGGTCAAACACGGCAGCACAGGGTCCCCTGGGTACCGTGCTTACCAGGTGTTTAATATTATCATAGGTTATTTGCTGAAACCGTGATAGAGTGTTCTCAGCGATTCAAAATAAATTTAACGAGAACAGTTTTAAAAGCCCCCACATTAGAGGATGTCTGTTCAATGGACAGAGAGGTTAAAGTTAATTTGATCAGGCATGTGTACTTTCTCCAAAAAGGAACATATGCACTCAGCAGCTTGGCCCCATTTGTTGCAATTTTGGGTCTCATTTCCATTTGCAAGAAAGATAACTACTTGCATATGGAAGCAATAAATAAGAGAAGTCATTAACATTTCTCTAATTTAGGGGAAGAAAAAAAAAAGTTTTAACGAAGTAATATCTTTGCCAGGGCAGACAGAAATGTAAATTAGAGATTGGAAAGAAACCTATTAAAGGAATAGCTATGTTACTAGTCTTTTTTAATCTAATGAATTTATGAATTGCCACTTGTTAGGTCACAGACTTTGTTAATTTCCTATGTGTTTAGTTAAGCAGAGAAAGTGTAGGGCAGGAGGAGGGAGGGTGAAAGGAAAAGGCTTGTGAACAATGAACCTGAGCAAATATTTTCATACAATGTGTTAAGGCTATTAAGTTGAAAATTTTTGAATAAAACCAGCTCTATTTGAAAATCTGAGAAAGATTGGTCTGCACATTTACTCAGCAGGATGAGATGTACATTTCTGAAGCTTTTATTGTGTTTATTTTTTTCACTTTTATAAACTTAACACCCTTAAAGGTGCAAAGGGTTAAAAGGTCATGACATTGACTGAATATTTTATTAAAAACAAGAAAAAATTTAAGAAAACCATGTCAGCTTATGGTGCCAATTTAGTAATCACACATCCATGGACAACACTGTCAAAAGTTATAGCTACTCTGATACCTCTAGGGCTTTCTTTGGTCCAAAGCAGGAGGAAGAATTTTCATTCTCTCTCTTTTCTTATAGACTGCAGAAGCTGAAAGCCAGTGATCCACTTTGGTTCCCCTTTCATAGCTGGTTAGGATCTGAGTTACTGCTGAAGTGCAACAGCAAATGTTCATCTGTAAACCCACTTTGAAGAATGTCAGAGTGGGATTCTCAAGTGCCTAGTACCCAAAGGTGGGATTTTTTTCTGAATTATCTTGAAAAAACAGTTTTTATTGTGGAGGATGTGACAAAGGAGAATAAACAGCCAAAATAACAGAGCAAGCAAAGAAAAAACCTGTGATAGTTCATATCAACAATGGTAGGCAAATTAGTACTCTGTGTAGTAGATAGTATTTTGCTATCTTATGCTATCATACAATGAAAAGGTAATGGAATAGTCCTACTTGCATCCATCATTACAGGCCTTTGCATAGGACCCTGTTCTGACATAGAAAGAGTGAAAGACTAGTACTAATTCAGTGGTGTTTTAAAGCATATGACTTAGCAGTAACAATTCTAACAACTGCACCGGCAGTTACTCCCTAAACATTCAGCAGCATCCCCTCCCAGACAGGCGGATGAGTGAGTAATGTACTGAACTCTCCTGCATCGACCCTGGGTAGCTGCAATTTCCTTTGTTTATGGAGGCAACCAAACACTGAAAGCAATTTGTGAATGGGGATTCTTGGTGCTTAATGAAAAATTTTCAAATGGCAACCTGTCGGGTTGGTAAGTGGCTACTTTCTCACTTTTGGGGGCTGCAGGCAATCAACTGTAACAGTATCCCGTCTGAATGGGCCAGAAGATATGGACTGAGAGAAAAGTTACACCCATATGTGTGCATGCACAAGCATATATACACACTTAGAAATTCAGACCAAACCTTGATGAGTTTTGATAAGGTCCCCCCTGCACATCACTTCAATGTAAGTCTGTGTGGTGCTTCTGGCTCCACTTAGAGCTCTTAAGTGAAAAAACCCCACAACCAAAACCCAAAACAAAGGCAGCTTTTGTTGTATTTATGGCATAAAAGAAAGTAGAAACAAATGGAAAAGTAACTAAAATGTCTGCTCTCATGAGGCCTGTGTCTGCATTCTTGAGGGTTCAGATCGTTTGGATAAACTCTGTACAAATATCTGGACTTTTTGGTAGGTTTTCATGATGAGCCTCTGAACCTTCTGAGGCTCACAGGTGGCTAGCCACTGTGGTGCTGCTGCTGCTGCTGTGGGGCTGGATTCAGTTCGCTTTCTCAGGCCCTTGGTACTGAAAATATTTACCAGGTAGTTACTAGAATCCAGTGAGACAAGTCACAAGCCTGTCTTTTGGGTTTCATTGGCCACCACAAGGGAAAAGTTTATGTTAATGAATTACTCATCAAGGGATGAAATAGGAGTTGCTTTCTGGTTCACATACAAGTCTAGGCCTAAGAAGGTCTAGCCTCTGTTCCAGGTCCTGCTACTGACTTCCTGTAGGGTTTTAACAAGCCTCTCTGAATCTCAGTGATGTTTTTGCTAAAGGGGTTTGGTCTGTGTTACAAGGATAAACTTGTTATTTGTCAGATAGTATAGAAATGAGCACATTAGAAAGCCTAGAAATCTACTAAGAAATTCCAGAAGGATGAGTAGACTAGTGTGGTTTTAGTTGTCTAGTCCCAGGTACAATCCAAGAAGGAAATTCTTAGGAAGCCTAATGGACTTCAGTTACTACTTTGTTTGGTGCTCAGTAATATTTAAAACAGCTTGGATTTTAAACCACATGAAAAATATGCCACCCTGCTGTTCCCACAGGCGTGAGCCAACTACTTGAGAAACTACATCTAATTCCTGTGCCAGTAATACATTTATTATTTATGTTTTCAATTACATTTCCATACCAACCTCCTTGTGTAAAACTGAAAAATGTAACCATACCCCCCCCCAAGAATGATCCATGTTTTTCTTACAGCAGACACTGTGTCTTTGAAAAGGACACCATTCCCCTTGACCTAAGTGGCATAATTCCCACTGAAATTGGTATAAGTCAGACTGAGTCCTTTTCCCCTCCTCAAAATATACCGTGGAAAAGCTTCTGAACCCGTGTAAAGTCAGAGGGTCAGTTGGTGCTGCAGTGGTTGTGGAACAGCTTGGGGCAGATGGCTATTAACATGAGCATTTGAGCCAGTGTGATGCCCTGGAAATGAAGTTAACATGACTATGTTTAAATGAGAAAGGGATTGAATTTTAGATTAAGAGCATTTATGAAAATGTCCTGGGCTTTGATAACATTGAAAGATTTCAATGACCAAATACTGAAAATTTGACAACCAGCCCATTCACGTACCTTAGAAGTAAAAAATATCTAAAAGCCTTAACTTTGGTGTCCTACCTGATCTTACATCAGATGATTTCTAGGGAAGTTGGGCCAAAGGTACAGTGGAAAAGCCTTTGTGGTCTTTTATACCATGTCCTAAAAATATTAGTGGATCATTATGACAGCTATCAATCAGAGTATTTCTGGGTTTTCTTTTCATAAGGACTTCAGGATGAGTGACCCTCCAACACTATAGTTTTAAAGGTCAGATCTACCTATTGTAAGGAAAAAGCATTTTGATGCATTAGCTGTATTTCAAGCACTGAACTCAGCAAAACCTGTCATTCATCACCTATACTCCTTCTCTGAAAGTAAGATATATTCAATGTAAGAAAACATCTGCTGCACACATGCTAAAGTACATGTGACATTATGCAGTTGCATTTAAAATACTGTAAAATTACTTTGTTTTTCTATTATATTTTAAAATATTCTATGGCACGATGTAGATTATAAAACATAAGAAAATATCACAATCCTAGTGTCATGCTGCATGTATTAAGTAACAAGAACACTGTCGACTTTCGTAATATTTTATATGTGCAATCTAACTGATTATGTCTTTTCCATTTGTTGCCTCTCTAGTACCCTACAAAAGATAAAAAGCAATCAACCATATTGATGATTGCTAATCTAATACTGCGTTTCTATGCTGTGACACATTAACACTGAAAAATAGTCTAAGGAGAAAAAAAACCAAACTCCTGAAAGTTTGATAATGCAAAAAGAAGAGAAAGGAGAGATTCCTTTTCACGCTTTTCTGGAATGCAAATACATGAAAATTTCTTTGGAGTATTACTGAATCTGTATTATTTACAGAGCTCTAGGCACCTGTTATCAGTTTGATTTCTTACTTACGCATACTTTTATTAAGAGAAGCATTGTACAGTTGCAGGATTCCAAGCACCAGTTAAAACTAATTTGAAAAGCTGTTAAAATAATTTACAAAGACCTACTTGCTGATGTGAATTACAGTGTTTTATAGAATCATAGAATAGTTAGGGTTGGAAAGGACCTTAAGGTCATCAAGTTCCAACCCTTCTGCCATGGGCAGGGACACCTCGCTCTAAACCACATCACCCAAGGCCTTGTCCAACCTGGCGTTGAACACTGCCAGGGATGGAGCATTCACAACCTCCTCAGGCAACGTATTCCAGTGCCTCACCACCCTAACAGGAAAGAACATCTTCCTTATATCCAATCTAAACTTCCCCTGTTTCAGTTTCAACCCATTACCCCTTGTCCTATCACTACAGTCCCTAATGAATAGTCCCTCCCCAGCATCCCTATAGGCCCCCTTCAGATACTGGAAGGCTGCTATGAGGTCTCCACGCAGCCTTCTCTTCTCCAGGTTGAACAGTCCCAACTTTCTCAGCCTATCTTCATATGGGAGGTGCTTCAGTCCCCTGATCATTCTTGTGGCCCTCCTCTGGACTTGTTCCAACAAGTTGAGGACACCAGAACTGTACACAATACTCCAAGTGAGGTCTCATGAGAGCAGAATAAAGGGGCAGGATCACCTCCTTCGACCTGCTGGTCACGCTCCTTTTGATGCAGCCCAGGGTACTGTTGGCTTTCTGGGCTGCGGGCACACACTGAAGCTGGCTCATGTTCATTTTCTCATCGACCAACACCCCCAAGTCTTCCTCAGGGCTGCTCTGAATCTCTTCTCTGCCCAGCCTGTAGCTGTGCCTGGGATTGCTCTGACCGGGGTGTAGGACTTTGCACTTGTCATGGTTAAACTTCATGAGGTTGGCATCAGCCCACCTCACAAGTGTGTCAAGGTCCCTCTGGATGGCATTCCTTCCCTCCAGCGTATCAACTGAACCACACAGCTTGGTGTCACCAGCAAACTTGCTGAGGCAAATACATTTACTAAAAAGAGGAGTGTGGAGAGGTGGAGCGATGGGGAGCACCTATTACAAATTTGAGACTGACAGGTTCAACAGCATGTAGCTACTGTGAATGAAATTGGGCCTATCCTCTTTTAAGTCATCATCTTGTAATGACTGTTTCTAAAAGAAGCTCAAAAACAAGAGCCAGACTACTCCTACTAATTATCTGAGGTGTACTGAATAGTTGTGGATTAATGTGAGGCATTCAGCTGTGGTCCAAATCCAGTGCTCAAAAAAAAAGCCCTATGCTTTTTCTTGCTTATTCCTCCATCTATATTTTGCCTCTTTGTAGTGGTCTTGACTGGTTCAATTGACTAAATATAAGTGACTAGTCCTATTTGTCATGTTCTAGTGTATATAAGAAATCCACACACGTGGAAGAAGCATCACAAGAACTTTGGGACACCTGTGCTACCTGGAGCTGCAGATGGAGGCCAGGTGTGGTAAGCTAAGGTATCTCAAGGATAGTTGAAAGGAATCTGTATTTAGACAACTGAATCAAACCCTCTCTGAAACTGTAAAGGTCCCCCAAAAGTCCTATGTTTTATCTGCAAGTTCTAAGCAGAATTTTTGAATACCCTATGGTGTTTCATACGATGGCCAGCAGGAGCACTTAGGAACCAAAATCTTGTACTCTGGAAATGTTCCAAGGATTAATGGTGTTAAAATTATTGCAAATTAAAATGAAATCTGGCCTTCTAGAAGGGGATTTCTTTTGAAATTCCATCATGCAGTACTAGCGCTTACCCTAAAGTGGACCTCTATTTTTCATCCAGTTAAAAATTCATCTAGATTTCTTTGCACCTAAACTTAGGTGCCTTGTGCCACCTAAGATGCCTTATAGTAACCAGAACATCTTTATAAGGCTGGCAGAGGTGACACATGACCCACACACTACTAAAGACTCATGCATTCCTGGAGTGGCAAAATGGTCATGGCAAAGGGAATTAGGTGAGCAAACCTACTGAAAACCATTGATTGTATTGATTATCTCCTTTGACTACAATGTGAATGTAGATATTAGTCTAGGGAAGACTGCATTTAAATACCTGTTTTTTCAGAGGGAGTCCTGCCCCAACTCCTGTCAGCTGTCAGCAGGTTCTTTCCAGGCACAAGAATTTTCCAGTCTTCATGCTGCTGACAAAGTTTTGCCACTAGGTTCAATCCATAAAATATTGGCACTCTGGACATAAAAAAATATTTTGTCTGTGGACTTATTTAAGTGTCCAAAATCACAAGAATTGTCCAGCACTTTGAAGGAACAAACTTGTAAAACTGGCGTTGTCTTTCTTCATTTACAGAGTGCCAGGTCTATTTCTGTTATAATATGAAGAAGATGACAGAACAAAAATAATATTCTTGCATCAGCTGAGGTGGTTCAGTGTTTATATAGAGTTGGGATTTTATTTGAGAAATCTTACTGTCCAACTTCAGTAAGTGAAGGAGGAGTTTCTAATAGTCTGGGGCAAATAATTACTAAGTTGTACAGGAAGAAGCACAACTTGATTGTTCACCTTGTAATACACACAACTTCCAGTGCCATTTTATATTTCATTGGTACATAGAAACATTAATAGCCTTCTCTGTGGGGATGTTTTTCCGTGCCCTGATCTTTCATTAGTGACTATTCTTCACACAGATTTTTGTGTAGTATTTATGTATGTTTCCATGGACCCATTTGCTGTGAATTGATTTCATGATCAGACTATATGCAATGACTCATTTATTAGCTCTAAAGTCTCCTTATTAGCACAGACTACTTGTATTGATATCATTAGCCTTGAACAACCTCGGTAGTCCTGTTCATGGCCATGAGCTTTTAAGTTATAAGCTCAGTTCTTATCAGTGTTCAACTGCCAAGTTTTCAATCAGTTCTAATTAGACTCAAGTTAGAAGAAAAAGACATAGCAACAAAAAAACCCTGACAATAGAGATACATTCTTAGTGGCCACAGTTTCTTCGTCACACACTCAGACAAACATATCCATGTCATTGGTACTTGAGCATTTTACAGTGTCTGAAATGCTTCTAAATATGAACTACATATCTGAAAATTATTAATGACATTCCTGGCATTCCATTAATGTTATTTATTATTTATTGTGTGTGAGACGGAACTGCCTAGAGGCCTTTGCAAAGGATCAAGGGCCCGTTGAGCTAATCTCTTACTAGGCATATCAATCCAGATGGATGAGCAAATGCAGAAGCACATGGCAAGCAGCAAAACCTGTTTGTCAGTTCAGCATTGCAGCCTGCAAAATACAGATCTAGCACTGAGGCAGTGGCACAGTTTGCACTGTTACCATCAGCTGTCACAGCTGAAAGGATATGGACTGAACAAAATCAGGCTGGTTTTAGACTTATTTGCTATGAATCGTCTCATCCGTTCTTTGGCCTGAATGATCATGTTTTCTAAAGCAGGCTTTGAAGGTAGGAGGAAGTGTATAGTTTGGTTTTGAACCTGTGATATTGACTCAGAGTGTGGCTGAGGAGCACAAACATACTTGGAAATGGGAAGGTAATCTTTTGTACCTTATTATTAAGCATCATCTCACAGGACTTTTAACTCTGGCAAAAAAGGAAAGCAATATTAGTGCTGTGTTGTACCCATTTTGTGTATCAAGTGGACTTTCTTTGAAAAAGGAGGCATTAAAAATCCTCTTCTGGTCTCCACCATCAGAAACTTTTTCTACCTGCCGTTGATAATACATTTACAGATATTTCTACTTCCTAACCCTCTTTCTCCACCTCTTCCTCTCTGCACAGTTTGGAGGAAAAGGACTCGCTGGTTAAGGGCTACTCAGTGACCAAGAAGACCTGGGGTTAATGATTTCTTCTGTTGCAGGTGTCCTCAATGAGCCTGGGTCACTTGTATGGGTTTTCTTAACATTTTTTCCCTGTGTATTTTTATGGAGGATGAAGTTGTCTTCCTGTGGGGCCATAAGGATTCATGAACTTGTTATTGATAGGTGGTCTCTGTTTTTCATCTCCTGCTCTCCCACATCACTTTTTTAGCTACCTTTGCTTCATGATCTCAAGAGAAAGAAGGGTTGGGAGGCCGGTGATGAAAGATGCCAGGAGTTCAAGGATGACAGCAGGGCTGCTGTGTGAGGCTGGTGCTAACAGCTGCAGTCCTTTATTAACCATCACAGTTTCTACCTTTAGACTGCTCATGCTCAAAGGCCTCTGACAGCAGCTTAGAAAATACAACTGAAATCAGGAAATTTCCAAACTGCAACAAGGCCCAATAGCCAAATAAAATAAATGAGTTGGCCTACAAAATCCTTGTAACTTGCCACCCAACAACAATAAACCAACCTTGAGACAAGCTAGAAAGGAAACAAAGAAGCCTTTTAATTATTTACAGTAGGCTTATTGTGGCTAAGTAAACATTGGCCAAAGACTTATAAAGTTAGCCTCAGTAAAGCTAGCTTATGCGGTTGTATATAGCTGCAGCTTTTTTAACAGCAGCTTTTTTAACCAGTTCCAGGCTAGCATAAATAAAACATAACTCCCAGCAGAAGGGCTGTTAACTTTGAGGTGGTTTTCCACTTACAGTTTTACTATAGTCATTTTATAATAAGATAAACGTATTATCAATTTTTTTCTTAGAATCATAGAATAGTTAGGGTTGGAAAGGACCTCAAGATCGTCAAGTTCCAACCCCCCCTGCCATGGGCAGGGACACCTCACTCTAAACCATATCACCCAAGGCCTTGTCCAACCTGGCCTTGAACACTGCCAGGGATGGAGCATTCACAACCTCCCTGGGCAACCTATTCCAGTGCCTCACCACCCAAACAGGAAAGAATTTCCTCCTTATATCCAATCTAAACTTCCCCTGTTTAAGTTTTAACCCATTACCCCTTGTCCTATCACTACAGTCCCTAATGAATAGTCCCTCCCCAGCATCCCTATAGGCCCCCTTCAGATACTGGAAGGCTGCTATGAGGTCTCCACGCAGCCTTCTCTTCTCCAGGCTGAACAGTTCCAACTTTCTCAGCCTGTCTTCATATGGGAGGTGCTTCAGTCCCCTGATCATTCTCGTGGCCCTCCTCTGGACTTGTTCCAACAGATCCATGTCCTTTTTATGTGGAGGACACCAGAACTGTACACAATACTCCAAATGAGGTCTCATGAGAGGAATGGGGCAGGATCACCTCCTTCAACCTGCTGGTCACGCTCCTTTTGATGCAGCCCAGGGTACGGTTGGCTTTCTGGGCTGCAAGCGCACACTGAAGCCGGCTCATGCTCATTCTCTCATTGACCAGCAACCCCAAGTCCTTCTCCGCAGGGCTGCTCTGAATCTCTTCTCTGCTCAGCCTGTAGCTGTGCCTGGGATTGCTCTGACCCAGGTGTAGGACCTTGCACTTGGCATGGTTAAACTTCATGAGGTTGGCATCAGCCCACCTCACAAGCGTGTCAAGGTCCCTCTGGATGACATTCCTTCCCTCCAGCGTATCAACTGAACCACACAGCTTGGTGTCATTGGCAGACTTGCTGAGGGAAATATTATTACCCCTTAAATCGGGTAATCATAGAGCTTTAGAGACAGAAAATAGTGTGCTAGCAGAAGAAAGCTTCCTGGTGTGGGGAAAAGGCAGTCCTACTGCAGCCAGAGGTTTCGACTAACCTCCTGGTCTATGCTCTGAAGTGGCTGCTTGTAACTCCTGGGTATGCTTTTGGGTTCTCTTGTGAATGCTTTGGGAAACATGCCACATCCAGGGGATGAGGAGAATGTGGGACCTGTTGTCTCTTACATGCCACGTGAAGGTAAGCAAGGCAGGGTGCTTGGGCCTGGTGTGGGGCGTGAGATAGGCAACAAGCTCAAGTCAATCCAGTAGTCCTGCCCACAACTGATATCTAGTAAAAAAGCAAGTGAAGAATCTAAGAATTTCAAATGTATGTACTCATGTACATACATATTAAAAAAACTCCAACAAACCCAAACAAAAAACAAACACAAAAAGTCAGCCAAAGAACAAAACCCAAATATCCACAGTGAAACAAACTCTTCAACTGAGGAGATTTGTGTGTGTGGTAGAATTAATGAAATATGAACATGTGTTTTTCTGCGTATTTAAGTAGGATGGCTGTTGAAACCCCTCAATCTCATATATGGCTTCACCCATTCCTCCTTTCTTTCCCCTTCCCTTCTGCCTGCCCCCATCTCCCTCAGCTCCATCCTTCCTCCCCCAGTGCCAAACCAGCAAGCATGGTGCTGTGGCTCCCATTTACCTGCTCACCATCCTGTGGCAAGAGGCACCACGTTAACAGTGGTTGAGTTCCCATTAATGCCTTTCCTTCAGTGATTCATTGCTTTGGCTTTCTCACCTCTACCCTGTCCCCAGATCTTACGAGATTTTGCCAGCCCTGAGAGCACAGCCACTTGAATTTGGTTGAAGTTGACTACAGCTTTCCAGCAGATGGAAATGTATGCACTCTACTGGTGACTGAGATTATAATCAGATAAAATACTTTTAGTCAACTAAGTACTTTAGAAATTAACACACCAGCCAACAAAAATGGCATCAAATCCCACCTCCCTTCTAAGCTAAGTCTTTTCCATCAGTTCTAACAGATGATTTTTGTGACAAAGGCTACAGCCCAAGAAAGTCAAGAAATTTCAGAGCAGATGGCATACAAGTGCCAAAAAGTGGTCGGCCAAGGACTGATACTCCTAGTTCTTCTGGAGATGTAATTACAGCGTTTCTGAATATTTGCTTTTGGCTTTGGCCAGAGTTTGAGCAAGGAGTAAAATGTCTTATCACTCAATCAACTCCTTGTTATTTTAATGCATAAGGTAGGGAAGTGACACTACTGCCTACAAAAAATGAGTGTGTTTTGATTTTTTATTTGTAATGGTATATTGTTCCAACCACTCTACTCTTCTCAAGAGTCTTTTATTAGATGGTGCTTTTACGTCAAAATCTTCAGCCTTTGCTTTAACGATGTTTTCTGAGTTTCTGTTCTCACATGCTTACTACTCTCCCACTTAGTCTTCCACTTGCGTAGTTCTCCTTCTGCTTGCATCTTCTGTGTTCCCTGTATAGCTGCTAGGCCTCCTCCAGTATAAGGAGGATATATAAGCAAGTATTTACCTGGTGTTGGATTCAGCTATCTTTTCCTTGCAGAGTACAACTTTCTGCAGATCCAGTCCTGATCTCCTACCTCCTAAGTTTAAAGTTATAGTCTGCAGTACAACAGGATGACAATGTCAGTGTGTGTTTCCTCCCTCCCCAGCCAGACGGCTAAAAATCTATGCAAAATGCAAGAAAAAGAAACGAGAAGTGCTGCTTTACCTTGCTGTTTGTGGCTTTTGTAAGCAGGACCTGTCCCACTTAGCAGAGTTATCACAGGAGACAAGGCATTATGCATTGCAAATCAGGAACTCAGTATTACGTAGCAATTTAAAAAATATGAAAGTACAGCTTGAATGAAATACAACTCCTGGGTTGCCAAACACATAGGAAGCCAGGAAAGTAATTGGAAATACAGATAGAAAGGAAAAAAGAGACACTAGGGAAATGTCTTACAATATTTTCTAGTAATCAGTCAGTCGTTTGTTGTCCTTAACATGGCTCAAAAGAAAGGAAAAATCCTATAGGTGAAATTAGGTTGAACTTTATGTTGTGTTTTTTTTTTTATTATTTTTTTTTATTCTGTTTTGTTGTTTTGTTTTTAAGAAAAAAAAAAATTACAAAGCCCCACAGGAAAAAAAAAGTCATAAATGCAGTTTACTTTCAATATATTCAAATGATAATAGTTATTTGGAGCATAGGGTATGCCAGGTGGTATCACTTGAGTAGTTTATCTACTTTCCAGTAACAAGCTATATGAAATACTGATCACAGGGAGTTTTCCTAACACCCAGTGAAGAGTTTATCATAAACACTTTTAATTCTCTTAATAACCTTTCTTTTAACTGAAGTGTCATTTTCATTGGGTTTATTTAGCACTGCTATTGCTTTGTCAAGAAGAAGAGGAGCAGTATTTAAAAAAATGTTCTCATACAGGGAAGACTTTCAGGTAAATCTTTGCAGAAACCATTGATGTTGCAAGAAAATCTAATGTAGAAATATATTTTTGATCAAATGAACCTTATCCTTGTCCATGTTTTGACATACTTAATGAACTCCAGACAAGGCCTAATATTATTTCAGTGAGAAAATGGTCAAAGTGATTTCATTTCACTAAGACAACATTTTAATTTCAATGTGATTTATCATTTTTCTTGAAGGGAAGGGAGAAGAAGGGAAGGGAAGAGAAAGAGGAGAGGAGGGAAGGGAAGGGAAGGGAAGGGAAGGGAAGGGAAGGGAAGGGAAGGGAAGGGAAGGGAAGGGAAGGGAAGGGAAGGGAAGGGAAGGGAAGGAAAGGAAAGGAAAGGAAAGGAAAGGAAAGGAAAGGAAAGGAAAGGAAAGGAAAGGAAAGGAAAGGAAAGGAAAGGAAAGGAAAGGAAAGGAAAGGAAAGGAAAGGAAAGGAAAGGAAAGGAAAGGAAAGGAAAAAGGAGAGAAGAAAGGGGAGGAGAGGGGAAAAGGAAAGAAAAATATCATTTAACACTGCCCTGTTATTTTAACTAAGCATGTCTTGTAAATGGTAATTTATCCTAAATGGGCAAACGCTGTTGTACTCATGCCTTTCATCTAGTGCCATCATTTTAGAAGAACTAACATAGGCTGAAGTATACAGTGAGTTTGTAAAGACGTCCAGTTGGCTCCAAACATATTTCCTGATTGGTGTTATTTTTCTATAGCTTCTGGATCTCAGGCAAACATTTAAGCTTGGCTTTAGGTTTATGCCAGGAGAAGTATTGGCCCTGATATCAAGTTTAAAGACACAGCACTTTCCCTCTTCCTTTCTTCTCTTCTCTTTCTAATTCCAAAACAATAAACTCCTAATAAAATTGAGTGTTATTTTAGTTCTTCAGGAATAATATTGTTCTAGGAGGAAAACCAGTTCGCAGAT